AAAAAAAAAAAAAAAGAAAAGAAAAAGAAAAAAATGCTGTCAAGTCAGGCTCAGTGGCGTTCGCATGCAGTCCCAGCTACTTGGGAGGCTGAGGCAAGAGGATCACTTGAGCCTCAGATTTCAAGGCCAGCCTGGGCAACATAGCAAAACTATCTCTAAAAAAGAAAAGAAAAATGCTGTCAAAAAGATCTTGAGAAGTTTCCCTTCAACAGGCAGTGAGATTACTAGTCCCAAACATAAACAACATCATAGAAGGAGAAGTGATGGGGGCACAGATGAGGAAGCTCTTTATCTCAGCATACATCTTCGAGGAAAAAAAAAAAATGGCTGGGCGTGGTGGCTCACACCTGTAATCCCAGCACTTTGGGAGGCCAAGGCGGGCAGATCACCTGAGGTCAGGAGTTCTAGACCAACCCTACCAACATGGAGAAACCCTGTCTCTACTAAAAATACAAAATTAGCTGGGCGTGTTGGCGCATGCCTGTAATCCCAGGCTGAGGCAGGAGAATCGCTTGAACCCGGGAGGCAGAGGTTGCAGTGAACCAAGATCATGCCGTCGCACTCCAGCCTGGGCATCAAGAGCAAAACTCGGTCTCAAAAAAAAAAAAAAAAAAGAGAAAAAGGAAAAAAAAAAAGCCAATGTAACCACCCAAAAATATTAGGACAAAATTTAAAACCCTTTGAACAAGTAGAAATATTCAGAGTATGGAGGTGAATACAAAGGCAGCCTGTTGATGAGAGAAAGAGCCTAGGCTGTGGAGCCCGTCATACCTGGGGCTGAATCCTGATTCTGGTCCTCACCAAGGTGGGGGCTGGGTCAGGCCCAACCTCCAGGGCCCGCTTTCCTGCCTGTAAAACAGGGATGATGTTTAGCTCACAAGCATTAGAGATGGTATGTGTGAAAGTACGTAGCAGCATCTGGCCCATATTGGGTAGTACATAAATAACAACTAATATTATAATTTATGTGTTCAATAAACTGAAAAACAATGTTCACAAAAACAGGACAGCACTTTTCAAAATTCTAGGGGTAGGCCCAGCTCTGGAACCTATCAGCTATGTAGCCTTGAGCAAGTGACTTAACCCCCTTATGCCGCCATCCTATCCCGTTCAATGGAATTCATGCTATTGCTAACTCTTGGAATTACTGTGAAGATTAAATGTGTTAATATAGCAAAGAACTTAAAACAGGGCACTTGGCTGCTGGCTAGAGTTCCCACCGTGCCACCAGGTCAGAACACCTTTTTCCTTCTCTCCCTTAGAGGATATATCCTGAAGATCTCGGGTATAGACCCAAATGCCTGCTGCTTAAAAAGCTTCAATTCCGGCCGGGTGCGGTGGCTCATGCCTGTAATCCCAGCACTTTGGGAGGCCGAGAGGGGTGGATCATGAGGTCAGGAGTTCAAGACCAGCCCGGCCAATATGGTGAAACCCTCTCTCTACTAAAAATATAAAAATTAGCCGGGCATGGTGGTGGGTGCCTGTAGTCCCAGCTACTCGGGAGGCTGAGGCAGGAGAATCGCTTAAACCTGAGAGACAGAGGCTGCAGTAAGCCGAGATTGCGCCACTGCACTCTAGCCTGGGCAACAGGGCGAGACTCCATCTCAGGAAAAAAAAAAAAAAGAAAGAAAAAGCTTCAGTTCCCTCCTCATCTAACCCTTTCCCCATTTAACCAGATGATCAATTCTTATACCCTTAAACCACTGATCATCATATCATTATGAAATTATTGACTCTTTTTTTCCCACCACCAAATGCTCTATTAGGAGAAAAGCCAGTTAGCTGTCACCCTGACAGTTCTGAGTTTTGGGGTCACCAATGTCTCTACTTTTCATTCAACCCACTCTTCCATCAGGGAGGAGACAAGCCCCTCAGTCAACAAATCTAAGTCACAGATAGCAGGAGACCCCAAACCCCTTCTATTAGCTTTGGATCTAGGCCGTCTCCCTGCTAGAGTGAAGCTGAGAGTCATTCTGGACAGGCTGGCTCCTCAGCTGAGAGCAACTCTGGGCAGGCTGGCTTTTCAGGTGTGCAAACTGTGCAGGGCTGTGAGCTCAGAAGGGCCCTATATTGGTTTAAGGCTCTGCCGTTGCCATTTTGAAATTATTTTTTGGTTTTTTGTTTGTTTGCTTTTTTGAGACAGGGTCTCACTCTGTCGTCCAGGCTGGAGTGCAGTGGCACGATCTGAGCTCACTGCAACCTCCGCCTCCTGGGTTCAAGCGATTCTCCTGCCTCAGCCTCCCAAGTAGCTGGGATTACAGGTGCCCGCCTCCATGCCTGGCTAATTTTTGTATTTTTAGTAGAGATGGGGTTTCACCATGTTGCACAGGCTGGTCTTGAGCCCCTGACCTCAGGAGATCTGCCCTCCTTGGCCTCCCAAAGTGCTGGGATTACAGGTGTGAGACACTGCACCCGGCCTTTGAAATTCTTACTTTTTAATAGAGGCCTCACATTTTTAGTTTGCACTGGATTCCATGAGTTGCATCGCTGGTCCTGGTCAGGCGTGATGACGTCAAGCTTTTATGTTAGTATCTGTGGGGTCACCTGAACAACCTGACCCCATTTCTTCAACCTTCTGCTCAGGCAGAGTAGCTAAGGCCACTTCTTAAATTGAAAGGCTCTTACTTTAAACACATTAATCAAAAATGACATCAGATGAAAAAATATACTTGAAAGATAAAAAGGAACTGATAACAGTTAACTCCTAAGAGGAAGTAGTACTTTTTTTTTTTTTTTCTTGAGATGGAGTTTAGCTCTTGTCACCCAGGCTGGAGTGCAATGGCACGATCTTGGCTCACTGCAAACTCTGCCTCCTAGGTTCAAGCGATTCTCCTGCCTCAGCCTCCTGAGTAGTTGGGACTACAGGAGCCCGCCACCACACCCGGCTAATTTTTTGTTTGTAGTAGAGATGGAGTTTCACCATGTTGGATAGGCTGGTCTTGAACTCCTAACCTTAGGTGATTCACCTGTCTCGGCCTCGAGAGAATTACTTTTTACTACATAGCCTTTAATATTACTCAATGTTTACCGTCTCTGTATATAACCTTTCAAATGAATTTAAGGAAAGATTTTCAATCAACATACCAATTAGTCTCTCTCTCTCCACCAAGTCTCTTGTTACAACAGCAGCTGTCTTTGGCCAGCAAATGTCCTGTAATGGATACAACTGTTTTACAGTGCCTCAAAGAGCCCTGAAGAGAAATTACTTCCCATCAGAAAAACTTTCTGATGGGAAATGAAAGAGCCAATAACAGGAGCTGCAAAATTTAGTTGGTTCCCTGTTGCTTTATAAAGACTATTTGGGGCGGGCATGGTGGCTCACGCCTGTAATTCCAACACTCTGGGAGGCCGAGGCAGGTGAATCAGCTGAGGTCAGGAGTTTGAGACCAACCTGGTCAACATGGTGAAACCCCATCTCCACTAAAAATACAAAGATTAGCCAGGTATGGTGGTGCATGCCTGTAGTCCCAGCTACTCGGGAGGTTGAGGCAGGAGAATCACTTGAACCCAGATGGATGTTGCAGTGAGCAAAGATCACGCCACTGCACTCCAGCCTGGGCAACAGAGCAAGGCTCTGTCTAAAAAAAAAAAAGAAACAGACTATTTGGATATAGCTGCTGCTTTGGACTTGAAACAATAGCATTTTTCTGTGAACACTCAAGGATAAGAAATTCATGAACAGAAAAAGCAGTAACTGGCTCCTACTTACTTGCAGGGTTAAGAAATGTAAACTATAATACACTGTATATTTGGTGATAGCATCTCACACCTTTGAGCTTTGGACCCTTTCTTATTTTATTTTTATTTTTACTATTATTATTTTTTTGAGACAGAGTCTTGCTCTGTCACTAGGCTGGAGTGCAGTGGCGCAATCTCGGCCCACTGCAACCTCCACCTCCCGGGTTCAAGCAGTTCTCCTGCTCTAGCCTCCCGAGTAGCTGGGATTACAGGCATGCACTGCTACTTCCAGCTAATAAAATTTTGATTTTTTTTTTTTTTTTTTTTAGTAGAGACGGGGTTTCACCACGTTGGCCCGGCTGGTCTCCATCGCCTGACCTCGTGATCTGTCTGCCTCAGCCTCCCAAAGTGCCGGGATTACAGGTGTGAGCCACAGCAGCTGGCCCCCTTAATTTATAATCACCTTACTCATGATGAATTCCTGGACTTAATGTATCATCATCCCTCATTTATAGAGTTAAATATAGGAAAAAAAAAGTGCCCACGCAGAATATATAAGAAAGCCAGCACCTACAAAGGGACTGAAAAATGCTTCTGGTCATTGGTCCAAAAACTATGAAAAAATCTTTTCCTTCTTAATCTCCAGTCAGAGGCCAACAAGTACTCAACAAGCACCCACAGGAACCACCAGCCCTGGTTCAGTCCAACAAGGCAGAGAGGCCTCAGAAGAAAGTCCAAGCCTCATACAAACCTGCACTGACCACCCAGGAGAGATCTACCAATTCCCAGAAGAGCTCTTGTCTGAGAATAGGTGCTAAATGAATTTACATAATGATGGAGTGCGTACAATTTCTAATCAAGATATTGGCAATTTTGCCCAGAGAGAACATAATCTGAGATGCCTGCACTAACTTGTTATATTTATTAACCCATTTATTAACAAGAAGTTGGTGTCCTTTGCTACCAAAAGGGAAGAAAAGGGGAATAAAACAAATACGTAGTTACTAAGAAACCAAGTAAGACAAACTAATCAGAATGCAGTTTATTGACAAGATAGGTCACAAATACATCATTTATAAGGAGAGAGGGGACACGAACGAGTCCAAAATCTTATACTCTGCACAGCAGCCCAGCAGGGATGTCCTCTCTAGAGATGGTTTATCAAGGGTACGCCGTGAGAGGGCAGCTCCTGATGCAGCTGCCGGAAGAGCATCGCACACCGGTTCCTCTCCTGAGTCTTCCCCAGGGTGTGGTAGAGTCTGGCCTGGAAGTAAACGACGTCCCTGATTCGCTCTTTGCAGTCAACCTTTGCAAAATAGTTCTTGGCTTCATTGAGGTTCTCAATGGCGGCCTCCAGAGCTGATGGAAAGTGGGGAAAATAACACACACATTTAACTCAACACTTCACATACAGTTTTCAAAACTTGGTATTTAGTTTTATTTGTTCAACAAGTACCAGAAGATTCTTTTATATTCTCCTTTCTTTGAGAGAGAAAAAACAAACCACTAGGTAGGGTGAGGTTTTCAAAAAGGTCTTTAACACTGGGTGCGGTGGCTCATGCCTGTAATCCCAGCACTTTGGGAGGCCGAGGCGGGTGGATCACCTGAGGTCAGGAGTTCGACAGCAGCGTGGCCAACATGGTGAAACCTCGTCTCTACTAAAAATACAAAAACTAGCCAGGTGTGGTGGCGGACACCTGTAATCTCATCTACTTGGAAGGCTAAGGCAGGAGAATCACTTGAACCAGGAGGCAGAGGTTACGGTGAGCTGAGATCACGCCACTGTACTCCACCCTGGGTGACAAAGTGAGACTCCACCTCAAAAAAACAAAACAAAACAAAACAAAAAAAGCCAGGAACAGTGGCTCATGCCTATAATCCCAGCACTTTGGGAGGCTGAGGTGGGCAGATCACGAGGTCAGGAGTTCAAGATCAGACTGACCAACATGGTGAAAGTCCTACTAAAAATACAAAAATTAGCCGGGCATGGTGGCGTGCGCCTGTATATACTTAGGAGGCTGAGGCAGGAGAATCGCTTGAACCTGGAAGGTGAAGGTTGCAGTGAGCCAAGATCGCACCACTGCACTCCAGCCTGAGCGACAGAGCGAGACTTTGTCTCAAAAAAA